CGCCGTGCCCTTTACCGCCACTCTTGAAAGTTAAGCGGTTTTTTCTATATTCTTTATGAATATGCAACATATTTTATAAAGTTATGCATTTTAGAACTTTTTATGATGCTTTTACCACTGATGGAATGCCATTTAACAATGCGACAGTATGAGTACCCACTAATGTATAGACTCTTGTAGCTTTGAGCTCCATCGGGCGACCTCTTAGATCTTAACCTTTTTCTACGTTATATTACACAAAAATAGATATATTTAATAGGTATAAATTTAACAATACTCATAGTACTAATACTCTTTATGATAAAAGAGACAAACAAGCCGACGGGTTAGCTGATGTGGCTACTAGGCATGGAATAAAATCGTAATCACCTGTTATTAATCATATTATGTTAAAATCATTTCATCGCACCTGTGACTGAACTACAACATCACTGCGACTAATATTATTATTACTAGACACGCGAAAAGTCTAAATCTAAACTGAAAAAAAGGTCGGTTTGATTGATTTTGACATCATTGATCTTTGTCTATGACAAAATCAAAGCAGTGTTTTATCAGACGTGAAATCACAGTGACCAAAACCAATCATTTCATAAAATAAATATGATTGAAAAGTAGCAAGAATTTCCATGAGTAGTGGCTACTATATTTTGTGCATGTTTTGCAAATCGTAGAATAAAAGCATATTTACTATATGTGTTAAGAATGTTTGTGAAATAAAAAAATAAAAATACTCCGTATACTTTGATGAAATAGGATTGAAAGCGACGTTTAAAATTGTTATGAAAAGTCAGTCTATGATAATTCTATGTTCTGGTTCTATATCAAAACACAAAATTTTCATCCTCATCACCTGGATAGTTGGCACTCCACTTTGTTTGAGACATTTTTTGCCTCGCTCAACCAATCTGTGGAACGGGTTATCGTCTGCGGTATTTTCGAACCAAGAAAGAAAGTCGTGTTAGTTACACTATTTATAACTCAAGAACGGCTTTACCGATGTGGCTGAAAATTGGTGAGGAGGTAGCTTAGAGCCAGGAGACGGACATAGGATACTATTTATTCCGTTTTTTTTTGTATCGGCGTCGATCACCAGATGACAACGGTGGTTCCACCAAAAGCAAAAGTGAAAAGAATGAATTTCAGTTGGTTCAACAACAGTTGGATTGTTCCATATTCGCCACTTATTTCTAAAACGTTCAAGACACATTGCAACGTTGAGTATTGGTCGGAAGACCATCTGCGTTGTTTGTTTTTGCGCCTGATAAGAAAACAAAAAATGTCGTGTATCACAAGTGAAGAGCAACCTATGTACTGAAATGCAGAAACAATAATAAATTAATAATGTACTTCATTTTTTTCTAAGAAATAAATTAACTTACTAAATTCGAAAATCGGCTTATTTATTGCCTTTAAGGCGGAACAGAGTTCGCCGGGTCAGCTAGTAATATAATATTTATCCTATCAGAGTGACAATTATCCTATAGAACAGCCATAATTTATATATATGAATTCAAACATAAGCACACCATAAGTATTAAACAAGTACTCAAGTATTTACATAACACAACCTTATACAATATAATTAAGATTTAGATAAGTTATCGGTAGGTTGTATTAGGGTTCTTTAAATAGTTTGTGTAGTGTGTGTGATATGGTCCAAAACTATTATGGAACAATGTTATTCCTATTTTATATAATAAAAAGGTTAACAATAATCTTAAGTAATACTATAAATACATAACTGAATTTGTTTATTACGCTTTCATAACTTAAATTCTAAAACAATCTTTGTGAAATTTTCTATACTTTTTACATATGTTGTCGTTTTGATTGTTGACCCGTGTGCTCCTTTGGTTCCTATAGCATAAAAAATAAAAGGTACAAAAAAGGGCATAGAGTTCCTCTTATGAAAAAAAAATGCCGGTTCTCAGCGTAGACAGAATAAACATATATATATATATATATATATATGATCAGTACTGACACGCAGTCTAAGAGTAGTACCTATCGTTATTACAATAAACACTTCTTAAACAACTGTTTAAGTTCGGTACCCCTAACCTAACTGGCTATTTATTGAAAGTATAAAAGAGAAAAAATATTTGTCCATCTATAAAAAAACATCTATGTTTGTGTATACATCTGTCTGTGTTTGGCAATACGAGTAATTTATTAATGGAATTGATAGTACTAAAAAACCCGTTAAAGTTAAGTGGTAAAAGTGTGTAAATAGTGGTATATTAAGTTTTTTCTTAGTAGTTAGGAAAACGTGTTCATAAATGGTTTTGATTGGCTATGTTTATTATAGCTTTTGCCCGCCGCTCTGCCCGCGTGTATGTCAATTCTCACGATAAAAAGTAGGCTATGTTACTCGCTGAAAATATAGCTTTACATTGGTGAAAGAAGTTTTAAAATCGGTTCAGTGGTATAGGCGTGTAAGCATAAAAATCAAATAAACAAACAAACAAACTCACTTTTACATTAATAATATGTATGGTATAAAGTATGGATGACGATACACGTCATAGTAAATACAGCCAATGACGTGTACTATCAAACCTTCTGTCAATGATTGATTTAAAACTACAAGTAACTCACTCCACACTATTATCAGAGCTAGCATTTTGAAAATTAAAATAAAAAAATGTGTTTAATAGTAAAAATAAACAGGTCTCACACCTAGCTCAGGCCGTTTGCAAAAGAATTTGTAATATTTTCATTTTACCTTTTTTATGTTCACTTTTGCATATTTTAGAATTGGCAAGTTAAAAGTTAGCTTTAGTAACAAATTTATTATAAGAATCTGATGACAATAAGATGTAACTCATATACACAATGTAACCAAGACCTTATTCTGATTCTGCAAATAAATTTGATTTATTTACTATCGTGGGGGAGCGATTATTCAGTACATATGGTGGCACAGCGTGCTTGATAGGATTGATATCATGTTCTCACAGAAATCCGTTGCTAAGCTAATTCCTATGGTGCTTTTAAGCGAGTGAAATTACCGGAGCCCCAACCTTCGCCTCCTCCCTAATCTGATTGCGGGTAGGGCACTCAAAGGGCGTTGTCGTTTCTCCTGAGTTGCAGGTTTCCATGGGCGGCGGTAGGCAGTTATCATCAGGTAACCTGTCTGTTAGTCCAACTCCTTTAAAAAAATATTTGTAGCGTCCACAGACATTTACAAATTATGTAAAATGGTTTGCAGAACTCAACAAATTGCCCTTTGAAGTTGACAATTGTTGCAGCTCAATTTCAAGAACCTTGCATCACTTTGATACTCAGTATCTACATCAATAATGATGTGTGGTAAGCTTATCGATTGAGGGTTCTCAGAACTGCCAACACACAGACAATAGGTTCCCAGGCGTCCTTCACGAAACAATCATTTATATTGACAGCGTCCATCGAGGGTCAGACAAGCTTGAACAAGTTGGAGTCCCTTTGACCACGTAATTTATTATCTTACATTTCTCAATTAACACTTTTCGAGTTCGTTGTCTAAGATATCTATAAATATATGTAGTTTATTTTTTAACATATTTTTTATAAATTTCTCCATTTCCTTCACCTTACCTATTTGTTTAGTTCCCCTTTTCTAATAGCCTAAATTCAGTTTATTTATTTTTCATTTTATTTACCAAATAGCGCCCAACAAAGCAATAACATGCTATACGCTGTATAATTTGCAAAGTATTGTTATATCTTTCTACTTATATTTAAGAAAGTTGTCAAAAGTTTGCCTGACTTCTTTTCACAAGACTTATTTGGTAAGGCCGGGTATAGATCGATACAGAAAGATACAGTATTATGACAAAACATAAACAACAACCCAATATTATTGCTGTAAATACGAGTATCTGTAGATTAATCTAAAAAAATATTTATTATATTTTCTTTAATCGAGAATTTCGAATAATTTTTAAGTATTTTATAAAATATGGATGTTGAATTTAAATGAGAAAAATGTAAAATATTTATTTCACATAGTAAAAGAATAATTTTATGTGATGTATTATTATTATTATTTATTTTATGTCTTTAAACGTTTTTTGGGGATGTTTCATGTGTCTCTCAAAATCACAATTAACGACATTATTTTTGGTGTTTTATAATGACAAGTCGTGGCACCACAGTTTTGCCCATCGTTACTTTAGAATACATACATTTCACTTAGCGTACTTTGAACGCCAACGAAACACATAGTAGCATGAATACGTTAATTCAAGAAAAACAGGCATTTTCTACTTATTTACGTTGTATCTATGTTGAATACAATCTATCAATATCAAATATAGAATACCTATATCATCATCATCATCATCAACAGCCTGTAATAGTCCACTGCTGGTCATAGGCCTCTCCTTAGAAAGGAGATTTTGGCCTAATATAGAATATAATCTTACTTTAATTACCAGTCATAAAAGAAAATCGATCATAAAAATTGAAAATAGATATCATATTAAGTACATATTAAAGTACTTAAAGAGAAAAAAAAATCATTTTGTAACCTAAAAGCCTATATTCCAACTTTCTTCGAAAAATAGTTTTAAAACTTAACTTTTCCCATTATTTCTCTAGCAGATATTTCTTAAAAACTGACAAAATAATATTACTACTTCCTGTTGTTATTATTCTTGCCAAACTTGACTTGAAAACTTGGATACAATTTAATATCATAATACCTTTAAGAGGCTTGTTTGCTCGAACAATCTGCTACGTCGAAACACATTTAAAGCGTTCCCAAATCATAAGTCGAACAAACAAAATATATACAATTCTTTAGATATAAAAAAATGTTCTTTAAAATAATCTTGTCATAAGACTACTTGAATTTAAACATTCACCTATTTGACTTAATTTATTTTAAGTATGATATACTTTGCAATATTAGCAACTTTTCAACTAAATTTTAACCACACATGTATTTTCTGACTTTGAGCGTACACATATATACATATGTATATATTACGCTCAAAGACAGAAAACGCTTAATGAGCGACAACACAGCTCACAATTTGGTGTTGTGGCAATCACAGAAAGACCACAAAGCGAAATTCATGATATGGCTCTTATGGAAACGCTCACGACGAGTTGTGGCAATCAAAGAAAGATCACATAGCGAAATTCATGATATGGCTCTTATGGAAACGCTCACGACGAGTTGTGGCAATCAAAGAAAGATCACAAAGCGAAATTCATGTTATGGCTCTTATGGAAACGCTCACGACGAGTTGTGGCAATCAAAGAAAGATCACATAGCGAAATTCATGATATGGCTCTTATGGAAACGCTCACGACGAGTTGTGGCAATCAAAGAAAGATCACATAGCGAAATTCATGATATGGCTCTTATGGAAACGCTCACGACGAGTTGTGGCAATCAAAGAAAGATCACATAGCGAAATTCATGATATGGCTCTTATGGAAACGCTCACGACGAGTTGTGGCAATCAAAGAAAGATCACAAAGCGAAATTCATGTTATGGCTCTTATGGAAAGGCTCACAATGCGTTGTGGCAATCACAGAAAGACCACATAGCGAAATTCGCATCATGGCTGTCATGTTAAACAATCACAACAGAATAGTGCCAGGTAGGCAACCGGCCCTAAATAAAACGAACCAAAACCCTTTGCAATATTACATATTGCACCGACCTCGGATACAATCGAGCAAAGGGCAGGAAGAGGCCGATGACATTTAGTATAATTTTAGTACTTCAAAAATAATATTTAAAACACTTACTTTAGATGCATATATTAGGACTCAATCCTCATTACAATTTTTTTAATGGTATATGGAGCAAGCGAGAAGACGGGTACCGTCCGTAGACGCCTACAACTTAACAAACTTAAAAAAAAAACCTTAGGAGTCATAACTGCGTAGCTGCCTTTTAAATGTACCTCTCTTCCCAGAATAGAATAGAGTGCTATCGTTGCGTTTCAGCTCTGCCTTTTTCTACACAGAAACAAAAAAGCAATGTTAACACACTCGTTAACATTACTGTTCTGTGAGGCCAATTTATCAATATAGTATAGTATAGTATAGTATAGTATAGTATACATAAGTACCTACATATAATATTTATATAGTATACAACATTCTGTAATGGCTGCTAACGCCACTCCCGAACCTACAGGAGCCGGTACGCTTTCCGCTGGCTGTTGTCCCCTGGAACTTGTCTTGATAGTCGACATGACTGTCACTTTCCGAAACACTTGCGGTCAAAGAGGTTCTCGGTCACTGTTGCGTTATCCCCGAAAATCGTGACGCCACCCCCGAAAATCGATTCGTACAGACATCATAACTTTTGCATCGAGTCAAAATCACGTCGGAGTGTCACCACTATTGGGGGTTCTTAGACGACGGATAAATATAAAGATGGTGTGCAGTAATAACGTGTTTATTGTTCCGGATTCATACATAGAGTGTGTTACAAAGACTGAAGATCGAGTCTACACTATATTGACTACGTATGCACTAAAGTGCATACGACTGTACCTCAAGTATAAACACTTAAAGTACAGTCTCGTACAGCCGCCACAATTCCATATCTAATTTTCGTGGGAATCGCAAAAGTTGCAAAACATAATACCTAGCTAATACTTCGTTAAACATAATTTATTTCGTGACATTAAAATAATGATGTTTACCCGGGAAAAACTACAAAGTTAATGAACATTACTGAGTATAAAATGAGATATTTTTTGTCTTGGTCCTTGTTTGTGAAAATAACTCTTACACGTAGCTTCGAGCGACTAATAAATAATGTAGGAAGTGAAAAACTTGTAGCATTATTTATTTAGTATATACAGTTTTTTTTACTAAATTATTTTTTACGAATTTCGTTCTCAAGAATGATTGATTTGAATGAATGAGTGAATATAATGCCGACGGCTTGAATTAATCAAAAGGGTGTCCCTTTCATTTTAATTTAAAACCACTGACACCTCACATAGTTTAAATACGGTTTAATGTTATAATGACTACCAAAGACTGAAGAAAGGAATTTACTTAGCATATAACTCAACATATAGATCAATAGTTTCAAAACTGTAAAATGCCATAACGCGCTTAATTAATCTAGGGATTGTGAAGATATTTGTTCCAAACAACATCTGATGTGAACGCAGTCTACCGGAGTCAGTACAAAATTTTACAGAGGGCTATAAAAAATTTCGAACGTGAAGTTTATTAATTTTCTTGTTTTTCGTATTTCATTGTATTCTCTTTTATCACACTAGCCAACCAAGCCAAGCCAACTATTGTCTGTGCCTTTTATCTCTGCTAACACAACTGTCTAACAATTAAAATATTAAAATTCAGTATAAAGTCAGAAAAACCTTTTTAGAACAAACAAACTAACTTTCTGTTCAGCAATTACCTGGAAAAGATCGCTTTTTAGCGAAAAGCTCGCTATTTGCACATTATTAGGGATCCGTACCTCAAAAGGAAAAAACGGTACCCTCATAGAATCACTTTGTTATCCGTCTGTCTGTCTATCCATCGGTTAAGACCCTTTATCTCGGGAACGCGTGAAGGTATCGAATTGAAATTAAAACCATATACTCAGTCCTTTGAAGCTGTAAGAAAATTAAACTTTTGAGTTAACATAAAAAAAGATACGGGAGTAAAAACTTATACGGTACTTCCCGTTGACCTAGAACTATGAAATTTGGCAAGTAACATCGTCTTATACTACAAGTACCTACAGGGTAAAATCTTAAAAAATAATTAGAAAGATATTTATAAATAAATAAATAAAATATCAATCATCAAGGTACAATATCACTTATAAAACACAATAATATACGTAAAATAATTATAGGTTTTGGAAACTGAATTTTCGGCAGAGCTCGGCAAAAACCGCGAGACTCGATTACTGAACTATTTATAAATATTATACACTCCCTATTCTTAATCCGTCACCACACGGATGTACGTGTGGTGACGGATTAAGAATAGGGAGTGTAACTACCCCTATTCATCCCGTGGGTGTCGTAAGAGCGGACTAAGGGAGCAAACTACTAAACAGGACAACAGCACTGCAAAAAGAAGAAAAACTTGACACAAACCCTATACCAACCCGTCTGGCCTATGTCGAGAAGTGGACTATTAAAGGCTGTTGATGATGATGATGATGATTATGCCCAACAAATTTATACGGAGCCCTCGGTGAGCGAGTCCGACTCGCACTTGTCCGGACTTTTTTAGCTTAAGGTATTTTAATAAAATAATTTTAACTTGTTGTGTACAAAAAGAAGCATTTTTATTCTTTCTTTCTCTCAGTTTTAGTAAAACTAAATAAAGGTTCAGTTAATATTTTTATTTTCATCGGACTACCCCGTAGACTGATATTTAAAAGACAATTATTACTTTAAAATAATAATAATAATAATATAATAATATTCTACCACATACACACAACGCCATCTAGTCCCAAACTAAGCAGAGCTTGTACTATGGGTACTAGACAACTGATATAAATACATATATACTTTTTTTTTTGTAAATACATACATATTATACATAGAAACACCCAGACCAAATCAAACATCAAATGTTCATGCACACAAAATGTTTGACTTGAGCGGGAAAAAAAAAAAAATGCCTAAGTGATTTTTAAATTGTTTAGTCATGATACTTGTCATCCAGTGTCATATGTATATTTCGTTTCTTGGGTGTTTTTTATGCATTCCGTAATCCAGACATTATTCCTTTATAGTTTCGTCATACCGTTTATATGACCCTCTGCTCGTTCGCAGCTTAACTATCAGAACTTAAAAGCTATTATTTTTCAATCCGAGTTAGCTTGTTGATACGGTCAGTGCAACCGTTTGAAATATCAAGGTTTTTAAGTGTTACATATCTATTACGTATGTACGTTGTACGTTTATTCCCGTACATATATTTATTAAATATTATTTTGTACAGTACCAAAGTCGTCAGTATGTAACAGGTCTAACAAAACTCGCTGTCGACGCCTCGCTCGGATGTCCTGATTGCGTATCTACTTCGCGAATCTCGACCAAATACCGCCAATGTGAAATATACGACACATCGGGGTAAGATACGTTGATACATCCCCGATAGGCGGTTTTATTACAAACATTGTCTTAACTTGTGTTGTTCAGAAGAATCTCGGGCATGGCTTGGATAAAAATGGTATGTTCTTTGAAATAAAAATGCCATTTCTTTTTTATTAAAATCTCGACGGTCCCATGCCTGAACGACTGATCAAGTACCTCTATTCTACAGACAGTCAGGGTCAGGCAGTAGTACTACAGGGTCAGAAATCGGCGAGATCAAAGTAACGAGCAGTGAAAGGGTTGACTACGTGTGTATCGCCCCATTGCCATCGCAGGTGTTCCTAGGCAACGGTATAGTGAACTAATGTGCGCTCAGATTAGATGTTAAATGGCATTTTAAATGTTTTTTAAAAGTTTGCATTGATTTTGATTCTTTAATATGCTTCGGTAATTGGTTATACAATTTTGCACCTTCGTACAATGTACTTTTTTTACCATAATTAGTTCTTGGGTAGTTTGCGCGTCCTAGTCTAGTTTTTGTATTTGTTGTTTCTTGGTGAATGTTATTTGAGTGTGCATTGTCACAGTTCTAACCTAACTTTACCTAAAGAATTTAATAACAGTAGGGTACCCCGACGCAGGTATATATAAAAAGAAGAAAACACAAAAAAATATTAATACAAAAATTAATAACAAAATAGACGTTTTTAAATTACATTAAACGTTACTTAGCTTTTGAATATATATGCGTAACTGGATAATATACTAACTGAATCAAAATCAGAATCTTAAATTTAGCGGTTTATTCGAAGATTTGAAAATCGGAAAGTCGTTTTTTGGACCGAAAACCTATAGAGCTTTTATACTTGGAATGTATAAAAATCGAAAATCAAACACATCGCATTTACGACTTTCGGTAAAATAAATTTCTATTATGAAAATCGAGCTTTTGAAAATTGGAACATCGAAATTCGGAATAAAATATTTCGGAGTATTATAGTTTTATTATGGACTGTTAAAGGCTGTTGATGATAGACAACCTGCTTCAAAGATGGTTTTTATCTATGTTTCGTGTCAGTTTTGATCCTCATTACTTATCAATGCGCACAATGACTGCACGGATGGCGTAGTGGTTTAAGCGGTCGCCACGCCGCTTCCTACTACGCCGAGTGTTTTGGGTTCAAACCCCACATGGGACGACACTTTGTGTGATCCACAAATTGTTGTTCTGAGTCTGGGTGTTCTTTGTGTCCGTTTCATGTATGTTTGTAAAGTCCCCCGCGACACAGGAATATATTCCTAATGCGGGAGTTGTCTTTTAAAAAAAGAAAAAAAAAATGCCACAGCAAAGCGTGATCCATAATTATCCGTA